TCTTCTTAACGCCTCCTCCACTGTGCTTCTAACGTACAAGGCTCGCCACGTTGATGAAGTTGAGCACGATCTGCCCCTATCCCCGTATTCCATAATAGCCTACTTGCACGCTATGGAAAAGAAGGAAAAGGTGTTAAACACAAAGAAGAGAGAAGCCGAAAAGGAAAACCGATAGTCAGAGGGAGAAAAAATAAAAAAAGTGATATAAACATTTTATTTTTTTTTACTGCATTCTTCTTTCTTTTATAATTTTGTAGTTTTTCTGAAGAGTCTACCACGTTCGCTTTTCAACGCATTTGCGCTTCCTTCTTCATTTTTCATTATCATTTTCACCCTTCAGACTTTTCCTTTGAGGGTGTTAGGGTATAGGGTACAAACAAAGTAAAATGATACAAACTTATGTTCTTCTTTTACTGCATTCTTCACTATTTTGCAGTTTTTGTGAAAGGTTTCCCACCTTTGCATATTCTTGTATACTCTTTTTAGCGCACCTGCACATATTTCTCAGGATGCAAGGTACGTCTAAGTAAGACCCTCACGATATATATATATATATACAAGGTTACCGGCGTTCGGGACGGGTCGAACGCCCGAACCCGAACGCCCAAACGTATGGGACCCCTTGGGGATGCGTTTGGTCGTTCGGGCCAAACGCGGACCCAAAAAAAAAAAAAAAAAAAGTTATGAAGAAAAATAAACTAAACAAGACTTGCCTGAGCATTACATCCAAATTCCTTACCAAATTTGAAATAAAAATAAAATACGGAGAAAAAATATTAAAAAATAAAATAAAAATAAAAATTAAATTTACTGAGTGCGCGACCACTTTTACGACACCACCATCTTTGGCAATTTTTCATTTTTTTTTGGCATAGCTAAATGCCCTGAAAATTTGCAGATGCGTACTTCACATCATGAAAAACCCACTAAAAAGGTTTCAAACAATAATAAAATTGTTAAGACCCCGAACTAAAGTGAAAACAAAAAGTAAAAGGTGAAAAAGAACGTGGGCAAGCACGTTTTGACGCCACCATCTTTGGCGATTTTTAATTCCTATTTGGCTGAGCCAAATGACTTGAAAATTCATAGGCAGGTACCTCACGTCATAGAGAACTCACAAAAAAAACTTCAGAAAACAAAAATTATTTTTAGGCCTGAAATAATTTTTGGCGGGGGCCGAACGCCATCGGGATCGGACCCCGTATGGGACCGCGAACACCCGTATGTACGGAGGTCGGCCCGGGGACCTCCGTATATATATATATATATATATATATATATATATATATATATATATATATACGGCGGTGTATCTTTCCATGTTCTAATGCAAAATTCATTATTGTTTTGTACATGTGGTGAGCAGTGGAACGAGATTCAAAGAAATTGAGTGTACGAAGAGGTTGCGAGTGGAACAAGACAAAAAAAAAAGGAGTTTACGAGGAGACCGCAAGGACACGAGGGCGTTCTACTCCCAACGTTCGGATTACCGGACCGGAAACGTGGCTTGTATACATTGATTACCTGGGTGTGTTATGTTTGGGGGAAGATGGGGTAGTTTGGTTCTCTTGGATCAATAGTTCATTGGGGTACTAAATACATACTTACACTACCACGCTTCGACTTATTGATGGACAAAATTTAGGCTAGGTGCATACATGTTTAAGGGTAAATGGGGTCAAGGGCATTCATGACAGTGCCATCGTGGGTACAACCTAATTGAGTAAGGTCTATCCGTTGTTTACTTTTTCCAGATATATGACTCTCAAAATATTTAGGGTCTTTCCACACCAACGTCGAGAAACGAGTTTCCGACATTTGGTGATGGTCGCATAGACTATCAAAAACAACATCCTGGCATCCGCTGGAAACCGCCCGCGAAAAGTCGACATCAACATTTTGAGGGTCTCGCCACACCACTTTTGAAAATTTATTTTCAAGAGTTTGGTTGTCGCCATACAACCTTTTGAACCCTGAATCCCCAAAAAAATTAAGAGGTGTCAAAATTCATCTTCAAGAGGAAACCTTTGAAGCCCCTCGTTTCCAAGCCCGCAACTCGCACGTTTTCAAGCAT